CCGCCCCCAATCCTCAACCTTTGCCGTTTTACTCTCTCCCTCTCTCTCTCTCTCTCTCTCTCTCTCTCTCTCTCTCTCTCTCTCTCTCTCTCTCTCTATCTATCTATCTATCTATCTATCTATCTATCTGTGTATATATATTATATATCTATCTATCTCTGTGTTCTCGTCACTACGCACAGGCACCATCAGGGGCACTACGTATCTGTCCAGCCGAACTTCATGTCATGGACACTCTTCACTTCTACAACACCGGCGATCCCTCGAGAGTCAATACAGGCTTCCACAGGCGACGTGTTTTCGGCCAATCGACAACTCCGCCCCTCGTGCCATCGGCAAAATCCCTTCACCATTACCATTTCTCACATCTCCTGAATCTAACGCCGTCTCGGCGACCCACTAGAACTTCGCCGTGGGCTGTTCTAGTGGGTTGTCTCTCTCTTCCTGTCCGCTCACTCAAGAGGCATATACACAACCCACTACGACAACCGAAAGACAGTGTTCATTACTCTGTCGGTATCCCGGCACAGCCTGGTGCAGCCTCACCCGACATCGCGTTACCCCCCCCACACACACACTAACTACACCTGAGTAACAGACGAGCCAAATCAGCGACAAATGGGTGACAGACCACGCCGCACAAAGTGGATGAAAGACCACGCCGCACAAAGTGGATGAAAGACCACGCCTCACAAGTGCAACGTGGCTTACCAACCCCATGTAATCCACCAAGCGTGCCATATGTATTCAGCGCGACTTTTAGGCCAGATACGTGCCAAGATAGCCTCTCAAGATCCCTTCATATTAAAAAAAACGAAGTAAAAGATAGGAAAGCAACCATTTGCTGCTACTGCACATCACGTGCATTTCTCGATGATACGTTCCAAGCAAGCGATGCCCTCACCTCTTCCGTCTTTCCCTCCCTCCCTCCCTCCCTCCCAGACCTCTCATCAGACCACAGAATGCATCCATTTGCGCCCCTAAAGAGGAAAAAAAAACGGGATTTGAAATTTAAACCCGCGACACGTAGCTCCAGCACAGCTGTCCTTGCGTTCCTTCGGACAAAGCACGCAGCAACCGCATTGAGGATCCACGACTTCAAGGACTTGCTAATACATATGTATTCAGCGCGATTTTTAGGCCAGATACGGAGCGAGATTGACTGTGCAAAACAAGAAAGAAAAAAAAAAGAAGAAGAAATTAAGAGTTCGTCAACTCCGCCGTGGTATTCCAAACAGAACAAGGATGAATACATCCGTATTGAGCGCGATTTTTAGGCCAGATACGGCATCGCTAGAGCACGAGAAGAGGGGTATCAGGATGTAGAAAGCACCTCATTCGGTGACGATACTTCCCGTGTGAAACACACCCATAGGGCACACTAACACCAGGACTTTCCGCGCTGATTCTGGTCGTATTTACGGTCAGATACGCCGGAATGAAGTCGTAGTGCGAGCACACTCTTGAGGGTTTACCAAGTGCTGCTGAGGGATATGATGCGGAGAAGGTTTTTGACGGGAAACACAGTGTTGCAGCTGTCTCTTATACACATCTAGATGTGTATAAGAGACAGCTTTTACATTGCATGCGTATTCACTCGTGCTTGACAGAGGCTAACCCCCGCACTAATCCGTCGCGCAACTTCTACAGTTACGTAAGTCTCACTGC